CGATGGGTTATAAACTGCTGAGCTAAGTCCTCGGAGAGTGTGAAGTTTCTTTGGGGGTCTGGGGGCAGATGTGATCACGTTTCCAACTTGCTTCATTTCACTGCTTGGATTGTCAGATTCCACTTAATGAAATAGCTGTATTCCTGAGAAGTTGGCTGTAAAACAAATTTTGTTAGAGAAATCACACTTCCTCATTGATCTCCATTTTTAAAGACGCATCCCCCTGAGGAAATAATTGGCCCCAAGACTAAATATAAAGTATGCTGAACACTTGATAAACCTTTTAAAATCACATATTTAAAGAAAGTCTTCTGTTAGAACACTAGCACTGATGATATTTTTTGAAGTCAGGAAATACAAATATTTTGCTAAGAACAATTACCAAAGGTGGTGCTGTCTTGGGAACAGAGACATGTGAGGGTTAGGTAAGCAACAGAGTCCCTGATTTTTTTTTTTTAATTGAATCCGGTCTGTATTTCTTACTCTATTGGTCAATCAGGGTTTTTTGTTTGTTTGTTTTTTAATTTATTTTTGGCTGCATTGGGTCTTTGTTGCTGCACACGGGCTTTCTCTAGTTGCAGCAAGCGGGGCTACGCTTCGTTGCCGTGCGAGGGCTTCTCATTGCGGTGGCTTCTCTTGCTGTGGAACACAGGCTCTAGGCGCACGGCTTCAATAGTTGTGGCACGCGGGCTCAGTAGTTGTGTCTCGCGGGCTCTAGAGCGCAGGCTTAGTAGTTGTGGCGCACAGGCTTAGTTCTTCCGTGGCATGTGGGATCTTCCTGGGCCAGGGCTCAAACCCAAGTCCCCTGCATTGGCAGGCGGATTCTTAACCACTGAGCCACCAGGGAAGCCCTCAATCAGTTTATTAATAAGAAGTTGACAAGTTTCAAATTATGTAAACCATTTTCTTAGGTGCCTTGAGAGCCAGAGATGCCCAAGACATGGTCCCTGCTGTCAAAAAGTTTTGATTGCATGGGAAAATAAGACCAGTGCACACGGCATAAAAACACCATTAGAAAACACTACTATAGCTGCAGGATCGGTGTGAAGGGCATCAGGAGACCTGGTGTGCTGCCTCTAGCCCCATGCGTGATCATGGCCTCCTTTAAACTTCAATTTCCCACATGAAAAATACAGGATTGACCTAAATCCCTAATTCCCAAACTTGACTGTACATAAGAATTTCCAAGTAAAATTATTAACACTCCTCATCCCAGGAGATTCTGATTTAGTGGGTATGAGTGGCATCTAAAATTCTATACTCAAACAACTATTCTATGCAATTCTTCTGAAGTCAGCCTATGTCCTAGCTCTGTTGATCTGTTTTCTTTTTGTTTTTCTTCCAACAGTCTTTGTAAGTTCTCCATTCGAGGGACAAAGCACTGATCATTTCATAACCAGAGCACAAATGCTATTAAAGGAAAACTTTGCTTGAATCGTTAATCATTAACTCTGTAAATTCAGATTTCAGTTTAGTGGTGTTTTTTTTTTTTTCTTGTTTGTCTGTTTAAGCAGTCCCTATAGGGACCTCATTTCTGGTGATTCAGTTTTCGTTTTATATATATATATATATATATATATATATATATATATACACACACACACACACACACACATACACACACACACACACACACACACATACATATACTGGTTTTCTATCTGGTTTTGCTATTTTTGCTCCTATTTGAGAAAAAAGTATATGAGGAGAAAGGTAACAATAATGACAATGAAAGCTAAAAGGTATAAAGCATTTTACTGTATACATACTACCTTTCCAGTTTAATCAGAAAGTGTACATATAACAATGGGTAAGCAATGATTGTGCTTTTCCTATAATTCTACATTTGGTCTGGAGAACACATGATAGTAAAATTAAGCGTCATCGGTTTTTGCAGGATGACCTAAGTGTAGTCCTCTCCCTCTGGTAATATACATCTAGGTCAGTGGAGAACATACACTTTCCCCAAATCTTTTTTTTTTTTTTTTAAATTTATTTATTTTTGGCTGTGTTGGGTCTTCACTGCTGTGCGAGAGCTTTCTCCAGTTGCGGTGAGCGGGGGCCACTCTTCATCGCGGCACGCAGGCCTCTCACTGTCGCAGCCTCTCCCGTTGCGGAGCACGGGCTCCAGACGCGTAGGCTCAGTAGTTGTGGCTCACGGGCTTAGTTGCTCCGCGGCATGTGGGATCTTCCCAGACCAGGGCACGAACCCGTGTCCCCTGCATTGGCAGGAAGATTCTTAACCACTGTGCCACCAGGGAAGCCCTCCCCAAATCTTAAGCCATCTAACTTCCTTCCCTACATAAAATTGCCTGATACTAATATATTAATTAATTAATTAATTAATGTATTCACATACAGCAGCACACATGTCCCCACAGAAAACTTTATAAGTTTTTTACCATGATTGTCCTAATATTTACGTAGTTGCATTTCAGTCTGTGACAGTAATCCGCCTCCCATCAACTTCTCCATTTGGATATTCCTATAACAGATTCATTCAAGCTTGGTTCCTCTAAGTCTTAACTGTGGTCACACTAGAACGCGTTTGGATGATAGAATTAAACTAGACGCATAGTCTGTAGTTGGAAACAAGAACAAGAGACCAGAGAACCCTGTGTCATTTTGTTTCTTTGCTTTGATGGTGTCATACGCAGCCTCCCAGGAGATCTGAGGTCCTCCCAGTCACTGTTTTGACACTGGAGCTCAATCCAGAAACAGCTGTCCAGAGCTAATTTATTTTCTAATGCTATGGCACTGTTAATTTATAAATTACACTGGTAATTCGAGCTATTATTAATTTCAGATGGTGTAGGGCAAGCCTAATTAAAATATGACACCAATTGCCACACATATGTGCCAAGGACCACCATTTAAAATTAATGGGAATATTAAGTGTGACACTGGTCTCCTCGATGCTTTGCACAGTAATTACAGCATCTAGCGGGGAATATCTGACAAATGTAGGCTCAGGTTGGGCGCAAATAAACAACGACAACCTAAAAGGAATCACAAGCTCTTCATTTAAACCTCTTCTCCTCGTTTCCTCCACCCTTCTGCAAATCAAGGTTGGTGCTTTTTCCCTTAAAGATGCTTAGGAAACAGTGACGATTAAGGCTCCTGTGACATGGAGAAGGTTCTCACTGGTTGGGACCATGAGGGTCTGTGGGTTGATGTTGACTGTCTTCTCCATATCCTGGACGTTTGCAGACTATTTTCTACTTGTCAGCACGTCCCTGGTTCTTCCAGTGAATTAATTAACTCTTACTCGCTTGCTCTAATAGACAGAGGCTATTCTTTTGCTCCCCTGAAGGTCATAGAGGCAGGAGTCTCCCTGCACATAGATGTGGGCTCCATAGGGTATGAAGACACCTGGGAAATGCTCAGGTTGGACTTAGTTCTGGACAGTGACACAGACTTACCATGACCCAGGAGCCCTGGCCTCGCTGGGCAGGCAGTGGTCCTTCTGTATAAGAAAGCTGTTGTCTTGTGTGTCATTGTCATTGCTCCTGTTATCATCTTGACAAAAACTGGGGAGCTTAACAATGTCACAGAACACATACACCCATAATTTACATACCACGCACATAATTCTTTGTATTACAGTAGTTTCTTCTTCTTGTCATTTTTGTGCTTTGCATCAGCCGATACAGGTGGTGTTATGGAGGGGTTTTATCACCTGGGGGCCACTGTGCCTCTTCCCTCCCCACTCAGGTGGGGCCCCCTGGGGTTAACATAGCCTGGCGCCCCCTGAGTCTGGGCGTCCAGGCAGATCACAGGGTGACTAGGACAACAAGTGTGCAGCACATTAGTGTTCCAAAGTGCTTTCATGTAACTAGTTTTCATTTGTTCCTCCAAACGGCCCTGTGAGGTGTTAGGATTATATATACATTATTCCAGGGGACATGTCTTCTGGTTTCTCGGGACAGTCTCAAATTCTGCTTGTTGTCCCAGAATAACTATTAAAAATAGCACCCATTTTCCCCGTAAGACGATGCCAGGTCACAGGGTAAGGTGTACCATCATGCTGTCTATCTTCATTTAACAGAGAGGCAGGCTGATGCCGGGATGCATCCGGTTATTTTGTCATCACCTGTCTCTCCATGAGGAGGTTAACGCTCAGGGTGACTCTGGGAGGGGACAGTGACAGTCCTCTTGCAGGCATTAATGTCCTGGTCTGTCCATATCAAAGGCTCAAGGCCAGACCTCAGCGAGGAAGTCGGGTAGGTAGACGGTTGTTACTATTATTCATAAATCTTCAGTGGGGAGACTGAGTCTCTGGACGGGGATGTGACAGTGTGACTCGCAGCCCTGTCTTCTTGCTCTTCCCTCTCTGCCGTGTTTGTAGTTAGAGGGTGGAGTCCCTGCTGTTGATTTGTGGCCAGGATCTTGGACCCAAGAGCTCCAGCAGACTGAAGTTTAGAAAATGGATTTCTGCTGATTTAATTGAGTGTCTAAATCTGAAAACAGAAATTTAATTTCATTAGTGTTTCCACTGCCTTTTGCGGCTGTGTGTGTGTGTGTGTGTGTGTGTGTGTGTGTGTGTGTAACTGCTAGTGTGGTATGATCAACGATCTTGGATTCGTGATCTAGGATGATGTCATCAGCTTTTCATTTCAAGGTTCAGCCTTAAACGGTACCTGGAGACCAGAAAGTTAATACTCACCAAAGGTTCCTAACTCAGATCCCCAGAGCCTGACTGCTTGCTGAGATTTGGGCAGGGTAAATGTCAACATTATTCATCACTTACTGAGGACCAGCAATTCTCCAGACTCTGTGCTTAGTGCAGGTAGGAACACAAACATTTTAGCTGGTCCATCAGGGAACCAAGAAAGAGCTGGCGATGGACGAGATAAAAGAGTGGAAGGAGGGAGAGTTGGCATGAGATTCTGGACTTAGAAGTGGCACAGTTCTCTGCAGACATAACCATTGCACACTTTGTTTTCTAAGTTTGTACCTTTGGTGTTTTTTCTCCTATTCCACCACACCTTCTCCTGCAGCTGTGGGCTTTGTGAGCGAAGATGAATACTTGGAGATCCAGGGCATCACGAGGGAGCAGTCAGGGGACTATGAGTGCAGTGCCTCCAATGATGTGGCTGCCCCAGTGGTGCGGAGAGTCAAGGTCACCGTGAACTGTAAGTGGTTGCAGGAGCCCCCACCCTGCATGTGCCTGAGGCTGCTGCTGTCACGGCCACAACAGAGAGCTGGGCCTCAGCACCACGCCCTGACTCGGGGTAGGAAACAGAGCAGCCTTGCGGTCCGTTTCCTGCTTTTAGGAGCGACAATTCCAAACTCTTTTAAAAAATGATAATAAATTGGATCTGAAAGTGATTTCATATAATCCGAAACTTGCCTTAACATTCCTGAAGGATCGTGAAATAGCATTCAGTGCATGTTATACAAGCTTGTCTTTGAATCCCACTTTTTCCCATACTTCATTCATAATGTCACCAAGCTTCACGCTCTCTAGACAGTCATTTCCTTCATAGGGAGCAAGAAAATAAATTAAAAGCATGTGTGTGGAGGAAATATTATAATTTCTGTTCATGGTATACTGATTTTATCTCATCCCTTTCCAATTATGTATGTTGATGGACATGGTATACACTCCTAATTGAACTATAAATAGATAAACATATCCACATATTAGAGGGTATAGCTCATCCCTGATTTTTCTTACGTGAGGTACTGAACCCAAAAAGCTTGGAGGCCACTACACTGGACCCCTCCTCCCCCTTTACCATCCAAATTCTCTCTGACGTTGATGCTGCCCGACTTCCCCCCTCCCTCATGCTTTCCCCTCTCGGTTCCGCGTTATGCACCCTGACTCCGTTCTCTGTGACATTCTGAAAGTTTTCCCTACTCTGACCAATTTCAGAAAGTCCTAGGACAGACTAGAACCCAAGAACTAAGCCAGCAGACAAGAAGCCTTTCTCCTTCAAAACTTAGGTGAGGGTGGAGGTAGAGGAAGAATACCGTGTTTTGGTGATTACCCATTCTTTAATATTTTGGTTTCTGTTGCGATTCAAACCTAATTAACACAAAGCACTTTAAGCAGCATGGAAACAGGTGTAGCAACGATACCATTTTTGTACCACGAGTTATTTTTAAAGTGATGTAAGATGACTTAAGGTTAATAAAGATGAACTTAAAGAGTAAGGGAATGTGAGCAAAGGGAAAACCTATGTAGGAAAAGGAGTGAAACCTAGGGGAAGCGAGTCCGTAAAATTTATATGCCAAGGTGGTCAGAGGCGGGTCCAGGATTTGGCTTCCAGTTCCTGAAGCCAAGAGGGGAAACATCATTTGGTTTGAGGTTTATGTCCATAAGATAAAAGCAGATTCGTTGCTTGGGAGAAACACTGCTTTTTCTGGTACTGAGACTGGAAAAATAACTTCACGTTAAGGTCTCCACAAATAGAGCACAATGACATCACACGCAATATTTCTGCAATAAACAGAAGGGCGAGTTGGTTGTGGCTGTTTCTCACTGTGCATTTCAGTGCAACCGTCGGCATTGTCAAGGGCAGTTTGACAAAGCCTTGGAATGAATGCAGGCCAAGTACTCAGGTCTAGTCGGTCCGGCTGGATTCAAGGGTCCAGCATAGAACACCTCCAAGAGTGACGGATCTGTGTATCCTTCAGGCAATTCTCCATGAGTATTATTTCTTGCAACTGAGCTTTTGATGGAAATTGAATAGTTCAAGGTTATATACTCTGGCAAGAACCTGGTGTGCAGACAGTCTACAGGGCTGATTAAAGGTGCTGACTGTCAACCCATGGGGTAGAGGGTCCATGGGGGAGCTACATCCTATGAAAGTTGAAAAGTTTAAACAGGAAGTATGCCTGAATACCTGGTCATTCCGCCTCTGTCCAGAGGGGAGCAGATGCAGTACATGTGAGCTTTTTCCTTAGCACAATATGGGATGGTTTCATTCTCTGGCACATGGTGGAGACCAGAGGTAGAGCAGGGCATGACAAACACAGTCAGTGATTGCGGCATTTGAGCTGCTATGGGATGTCTTCTCTCTGCAGATCCTCCATATATTTCAGAAGCTAAGGGGACAGGTGTCCCCGTGGGACAGACGGGGACGCTGCAGTGTGAAGCCTCCGCGGTTCCCTCGGCAGAATTCCAGTGGTACAAGGATGACAAAAGGTAAGGCTCCCTCCCCCTCCTCCCCGCAAGAAGAAGAAAGCTCTTCCAGGTTCCTGCCTGATTCCACAGGGATGCAAATGGATTCCTGCAAAGTCCTCTACTGAACTCCTCCTACCTATGAGGGAGAAACAATACACAAACAAGCTTTTTCTTGATATTAATGAACTTCAGCTATGTTTGCGATGTTGCCATGAAGAACTGGCACTCGCCCACCAACAAGCCTGAGAAAAACTATTTTTTAAGGGAAGCAAAATCTCAAAGGAAAGGCCACTAGGAGCCTGTGAGTTTTTTATAGGCCTAGAAAATCATGTGTTCTGCCTGCAGCTATTTTTAACACATTCTCAGGCTCGCATTAAGGTGCCAGGAAGGAATGCTCCTGGGGCCCTAAGTTAGCTGTGTCTGAGGACTCCGGTCCAGTTCCATCCACTCTCAGGGGTGGTGCATGAAAGCATCTGTGACCCAAGTTAGCCTCCCTTTGTGCCCGGCTTGTACTTTCACTGCAGGAGAAAAGAGAGGGGCCTCTCCCATCCCCTCCTATTGTTGCAGCCACCATCAGGATGTTTGTCATGATCACTGAAGATTGTCACCATGAGGAGTTAGCAAATGACACGTTAGCACAGGGTTCAGTGGCTCCGGGGACCAGGCAACGCGCGATTACTGTTATCAAAGAGCTATTTTCAGGTGGATGAACGGCAAATACATGTGCAAGAGCTGTCCATGGTCAGAACACATTTGTAACAATGGGGAGGGGGGCGATACTAAAAGGTCCTGAGGTGTATGTGGGGTAGAGGAGGAGGGCAGGGTGACAGAGGCTGAGAAGCTGAGGGGAAAAAGCAACAAAAAGGGGAACTTTGGGAAGGAGAGCAGGTGAGCAATTCCAGGCCAGGACTCATGCCGGGAGAGACCCAGCCGCTGCCTACACGTCTCAGAACATCTCCAGTGCCTTGGGATTCTTTCCTGAAGAGACCAGGAAGTGTTCGTAGCAGCGCTACTTACAAGAGCCAAGACACGGAAGCAACCTAAGTGTCCATCAACAGGTGAATGGATAAAGAAGATGTGGCACATATATACAATGGAAGACTACTCAGACGTCAAAAAGAACGAAATAATGCCGTTTGCAGCAACGTGGATGCAGCTAGAGATTATCACACTAAGTGAAGTAAGTCAGACAGAGACAAATATCATATGATACCTCTTATATGTGGAGTCTAAAAAAATGACACAAATGAACTTATCTACAAAACAGAAATAGACCCCCAGACATAGAAAAAAAACTTATGGTTACCAAAGGGGAAAGGGGTGAGGGATAAATTAAGAGTCTGGGATTAACAGATACACACTACTATATATAAAATAGATAACCAACAAGGACCTCCTGTATAGCACAGGGAACTATACTCAATGTTTTGTAATAACCTATAAAGGAAAAGAATCTGAAGAATATATGTATATAAATGTATAACTGAATCGCTTTGCTGTACACCTGAAACTAATGTAACATTGTAAATCAACTATACTTCAATAAAAAATATGTTTAAAAAAAAGAGGCTGGACACCAAGAGCTCCTCCAGTCTCTGCATCAACCCCTGAACTTTGTTTAGAACCCAGTTGCTTAGTCCGAGGACCCATTGTGTATCATCATATTCCTTCCAAGTGAGAAGCAGTACTTTTTCATTTTTAGGTACCAATTCTGGCAGCAACTTAGGTGCATTGTATGTGTCTAGCCCATTTTGTAGATGGAAATATTGAGACAGAATGAGGAAACGCAAACTCAGGGAGAGATAAGAAGAAATAGCTGGCTTTCCTCCTTTTTTCCAAGAATGCAGAATCAAGCAGAAGGGAATAGTATTTTCCCAATAAATAAACATGGGTATCTTTCTTTGAAATCCTGCTTCCTCTTTCTTCCTTTTTATCCTTTCCTTTACTAAGAACAAAAGTGAGATGTGAAGGTCCAGTATCAGAAAACAAAACAAAACAAAGAACAATTTTTTGAGCTCCAGGGTAAATTCCTGAACTTTCCATGGCCCGGGCCGTCATGAAAATTAATCAGCTGCATCCTGTTTTTCTAATTCTCTGTGGGACGAAAATGTGAGCAAAATGTAGAAGAAAGAAAATCTTAAAATACGTGGAGGAAAGAAGATTAGCCTTTAGGCAGATATGGCCAATGGTGGGCGTAGGAAGAGAGAGCTTTTTGCTGCTGCGTCACGGAGAGGGGGGCTGCAGGCTTCACCCAGGAGGAAAGAGCCCGGCAGCATCACCGTGGTGGGGAGCAGCTTTCAGAGCCCCTGGCTCAGGCGTCTCTGAGTCCTCCTCTGTCTCAGTCCTCGTGGCAGCTCCTTTTCTCTCCTTTAGTAGATTCCGCTTGGTTTCCCATTTGCTCCTCGTGTATTTATTCCCCTGTGTAAATGGGAGGGGAATGGGAGACCATTGAATGCAGTTGTCTGTCCTGGCACCCAGCTCTAGAAGAGCATCTCTGCCTCTGAAGTCTTGTCACTGCCTGACCTTCCTGGGCCACTCTCAGGTCACCTCGTCCAGGCAGGTCTCCCAGGGCAGATTGCACCTGCCTGGGGGAAGACCAGCTCTAACCTAGCTCACATTCCTGGTGAGCTGAGGGGATTTCTGAGGCAAATCAAAGGAGTCTATGTGATGGGGGCAGGCAGTTTTCTCAGAATTCAGGGTAGAAATCTGTCTTGACTGTGTACTAGCCACTCGACACCAGCCACCACCGTGTGTGCCGTCGATCAAAGGGAGAGGGAAGGGAACCCTGTCCTTAATAAGGACCACTCATCCACAGGACTCCAGCCATTGAAAAGCATTAAGAAGCTGAAGCCTGGTAGTGATGACGAATCCGGCCTCTGCACCCCAACACTGAAGTACATCTCAGAGACAGAGTTTGGGGTGAAGGAGAAAAGAATAGCTTTATTGCTTTGCCAGGCAGAGGGGGCCACAGCGGGCTAATGCCCTCAAAACTGTGTGTCCCGATCTGGAGTGGGTAGTGAGGAGTTTTATAGTAATTGTTCAAAGAGGGCGTGATCAGCTGGTGGACATTCTTCTGACTGGTTGGTGGGGAGGTAAGTGGGACTCAGCGTCATCAACCTTTTGGTTCCAACTGCTCTGGGGCCTACATGTATCTGCAAAACAGCTGATGTGTATCCCTTGAGGGGGAACGAGGACCCTGCCTCAAGGCTGCACTATTGTGTATTGGCTACTCCTCCCTTGTCTCTGCATCCCCCTCCCTTCCCTGATTAGCATCTGTTTGAACCTGCCCTTTGGAACTCAGGGAAGGTCTTGGAGGCTGACTGAAGTCTATTTCCTACAAACAAGAAATGGGGGACACAGAAAGGCTTTTGTGCCCAGGAGCCCCACAGGGTCCTGCTTGGTTTCAGCAGTGGTATGGGATGAGGAGGTGTGTGACCACACGGAGCGTCATCCCAGAAGCTGCAAGGCGCTGCTGGGTACCGCTGGCCGCCCTCCTCTGCTTTTAGCTAAAGACATTTCCGAGCTCTCAAGCCGAACCTGCTCTGGGTAAGTGTCTCTCCCCACTGCAGAGCTGAAATCTAGTTCACAGCTTGCTTCTGATGTGGAGGCTTCCTCCCCAGCCCAGGGATGGCATCAGAATGGCAAATGGGATCAATATGCTTGGCGAGCTCAGAGAAGCCTCCTGGCAGGTGGGCTTCAGAGCCTTCTCTGCACAGCACCCCCTGGAGGACCAGCATCTACAGAACAAGCTGGAAATAGAACAGTGGTGTCTGGCCGCACAGCCGGACACCTCATTCGGTTTGGACTGTGCTCACGTTTTAATGAAGTCCCTGGACTCGGGCCGGTTCACTGCCCCTCACTTAGGAGAGACAAAGGCTCACAGATGAAAATCTACAGAATGGAAAGCAAGGCAAGTTCCTTCAACCCCACTCTGACTCCCCTGGAGACAGATGTTGGGTTAGGACTGAGGCCAAAATCCTGCTCTTCTCATCACGGTGGTCATGTCTTGGCAAAGGAGAGAGCCATCTTGCCCTCCTACAGAGACAGCACCTTCAGATAGTGACAGAACAGCTGACATCTCTGCCAAAAACGTCCTGTGGCCCAGGGACAGGCGGGAGTTTGCAGTGTCTGACTCCACAGAAATATATTATTTCAAATAACATTTTATGGTTTACAAAGCATTTTCTCATCATTGTCCTGCTGGGCTTTACTTTCTATTTCTGCCTTGAATATTGTCTCTCTCGGTTTGATGACTCCAATACCAGCCATTTGCCCCAATTTGTGTCCCACAAGCCTGTCCCCATATGCGATCATCTTGCCATATTTTACTGTCTACACGTCCTGCTCCAGCCAGGCCCTACACAGGCAGCTGATACTGTGACCACTTCCCTGAGATCCTCCATTCAGAAGGATGATTTCCCCCACTAGTATGTCTCTTTTCTGTAGCATAGACTCAGCTTCTGGGCAAGAAAGTCAAATTATTTCAGGGAAAGTAAAAGGTTGGCTTAAAGCCCATTTTCCGAAATAGGGCATTCCAGAGTTTTTTAAAAAGAAGAGAGCTGGTCTCATAATTTCCATGTAGACATGTTAAATTCAATAGGAATTGCTACGAACAGCCTCCAAAGGTGGAGGATATGGCCCTACCAACCTCTAATGCAGTTTTCTCCTTTCCCTCTCTGTCTGCCCTGTAATGGTGTCTGTGCTTCTAATAAGCGTGCCTGGCTGTCCTTCCCACTAACTCTTTGTGGCTTTTAGTTAGTGGCCCCGGCTGTCGGTATGAGCCCTTGTGGCACACTGGACTCCATGATGGGGTGAGACAGCTCGGGGAGACAGTCCTAGCCATGTAGGGCCATATTCTCAGGCTTCTGTAATCTCTTCCAGGCTGAGTTGCTATAATACTCTAGACAGCTCACCACTCCCAGGCCCTTCAGAGTCCCCTAACATAAAAATGATCCCCGATTCTTTAATCCTAATCACAGCCAAAAATAAGGTATTATCTGTAGAATGCCTCAAGTTCTTAAGGGATAAGTTTATCACTCAGGTGCTTGAAAAACATTGTTCTTTCAAACCCCTCAGGTTTTCCTCCTCTTTGAAGACCAAGTTTTTCCAGTTGTCATCATCGTCACCATCATATCTTCATCATCACCACCATCAACATCAATTATGTCCACAATTCCGAGCACCTACCGCACGAATCCTGTTGGGCTGAGTGCACACAGCTGGCACGTTATATTTGTTCAAGGCATCTGCCTTCAGAGAACTTCACTATCTTCATAGGGAGACGGATATCTGCATTGTGCCACGAAATGTCTCCAGGCACACACCTAAAACATAGAAATGCAATTATACGTGTGATTGTGGCCAACCTGTGTAGTTGAATGCAAAAAAATAAGTGATTATAGTGATGACAGAAAGGGGGCAGAGGGAAGGTCATTAATTCCAGAGTCTCTCTTCTTCCTTATGAGAGAAAAAAA